GAGTCACCATCCCTGGATGTGTTTAAGGGACATTTAGATGGGGTACTGAGGGATATGGTGTAGGGGAGGACTTTGTAGAGTAGGGTAGATGGTTGGACTCGATGATCCCAAGGGTCTCTTCCAACCTCAATGATTCTATGATTCTATGAAACCAGGCCTGTATTATATTTAGGCTTAAAAGCATTGTAGATTTACTGGAATGGTACTTCAGGGCAATCTTCAGGTTTCTTTCAATACACGAGGGAATTTCTTCTCACTGCCTGGAGAAGAGGCCCAGAGGCCTGTAACTGTTGTGGATGGAGACCTTAGAGCAGCCTTTCAGTCCCTAAAAGGGGCCTTATAGGAGAGATGGGGAGGGACATTTTATCAGGGAGGGGACCCATAGGATGAGGGGGAATGGTTTTAAACTGAAAGAGGAGAGATTTAGAGTAGATATTAGGAAGAAATTCGCTCCTGTGAGCGTGGTGAGACCGTGGCCCAGGTTGCCCAGAGAAGCTGTGGCTGCCCCATCCCTGGAGGGGTTCAAGGCCAGGTTGGAGGGGGCTTGGAGCAACCTGGGCTGGTGGGAGGTGTCCCTGCCCAGGGCAGGGGGTTGGAACTGGATGGTCTTTAAGGTCCCTTCCAACCCAAACCATTCTATGACTCTATGTTGGGATGCAAGGAAAGGCTGCCATAAAACAAGCAGCACGTTGAATGCTTTAGGTTTAGGCAGCGTCCCCAGGCTCCAGTTTGGCAAGCGGTACCCAAGTTATAAATATCCCACTTCTCCTCTGCAAGGATGCTGTCCAAAACCACCAGCTCCACTGTGATCCCTGGAGGTGCAAGGTATAATGTGTCCAAGGAACCTCACAGCCAGTATCAGCTTCTCACAGGGGATTTAACACCGGAGGTTTGTGAAAGAAAAGAGTAATTAAAGGTCACAGCTCTCCCTGCACGGAACGGTCTGGCAATCAAACTGCCTGAGAATGGTCACCATAATCTACTGCAGGGTATGAGAGTGAGAGAGGGAAAGAAAAAGGGAAAAAGTACTTTCCTGATAATATTATGTTAATGATTTAAGCTGCTATGTAAATCGCCTTTCTGTCATTAGTAACTGACAGCCTGAGAATGCCACATCGTACATTTTTATTTCCGTGATAAGTGGCAACTACCACTTGCCAGCAGAAAGGAGTCTAAGCCCTTTTTCCCTGCACTGTCAGGGGGAACCCTCTGAGACTCCTTCATGTGGTTTAAAAAAAAAAAAAAAAAAAAAAAAAATAAAAGAAGTGCTTTCTCATGGGAGATGAAAGGTATCTACAGTGACTTTTGAGAAATTCTTCACATTCATAATTTTTCAGTAGGATATCCATCCTGTAAAATACTGCATTGTGCTGTTATTATTCTTATGCTCCTTTTGGTGGTTTAAAAAAAAAAAAAAAAAAAAAAGAAAAGAAAAAAAGAAAAGAAATGCACCATTAAAAGCTGGAATAAAAAAAAAATTAAATTAGCAGTGTTTTCCAGTCAAAGTGACAAAATGTATGCATATCTCCCTGCTTAAGCCCCTTTGATGGCAGAATGCTCAGATCCAGAATTTCTTCTATCAAGCCCGGGAATTGGACATCAGCCTTTTTTGCACTCCCTGCAGCCCATTGGTGACAGGAGAAGCTCCCAGTGCATGAGGCAGGACAGAGACTGGCCACAGAGCTGTCTCACTGGAAGAGTTTTGGTTCCATCTTCTCTCCATTTTATCTTCACTTTGCTCTTTTTCATTTCAATCTGTATTTCGAATTTATTTTTTATTGCTGCAATCCTGTTGCGGTCATTTCAATCTAGAAAAGCAAGTATTGGTTGGGCTGTAAGGCCTCGAGGACAAATGGGAAAAAACTGAGAAAATGAGGCAAGATGAGACCTGAACTGGTCATAACGTCATCTTCTGAACACCAAGGCAGCTCAATACTACCCTTATCCACCTAACAGATTCCTGAAGCCCCCAAAGATGGAGATTTCATACCTCCTCAGGTAGCCTTAGTCTTTAGAAGTTTCCCTTCGTGGTTAAAGCCAAATTTTGTGCCTGCTGGAACTTAATCCCATGACTCCTCATCATCTCATGAGTCTTCACAGAGATATGTTTATTACTTTCCTCTTGCCAGAAGTAGTTTGGGCGTTTCAAGACAGCTACCATATTTCTCCTTAATTTTCTCCAAGCCAAACAAACACACGTTTTCTACACCTCGGTTCATTCTTGCTGCTTTCCTTTGGCTCCTTGCAATCGAGTCACATCTTTCTGGAAGTGAGGTGCCCAAAACCAGGCAGAGTCCCCCAGCCAAGGCCTCACTGCTAAGCAAGGCACACAAACAGTTCTGTGGATAAACTACAACGCTCCTGTCTATACATATTAATATCATGCTTGCTTTGCCCTACCAGAGTGAGAAACATTTGCTGATCTGTCAGCATTTTGCTTGCTCTTGGCACAAGGCAAACAACTACATGAGTTGCAAACCAGGCAAGAATCAAACCATTGATCTCTGCTGGCAAAATGCAGCTAAATTCCAATAAAAAATTCCACAGCAGCTGCCTACACTACTGAAACCCACTTACCTCAAAGCATGTAAAAGAAACATTCCCTTCTATAAAATCATATAAGCCATAACATTGCAAACTGGATTTAAGTAAAATAAACTCAGTATGGGTCAAGGTGAAACACTTGACCCATGCAGAGCTTTAAGAGCAACAGCATTTTTAGATCAAAGACTGATGTGCTCTACAACAAAGCAGCCTCAGCAGTAAATGCACAAGACTACAGCAGTGAAAAAACAAAGTGCTGTTATTTGGAACACTAATATTGCTGCTTTGATTTTAGAAATTTCATCAGCATGTTTGTTTGTAAAGACATTAAAGTTTAGGTAATGACCATGCTACCTTAATTCAACCTTTTAAGGCATTTCAGCTTGAACTTATATAGGGTGAAAAGCTTATATCGGGGGCAAATACTCCAGTGGTATATAAGTCAGTCTATTTAAAGTTAAGTAAGATTTAGATTTTTACAACAGCTGATGATTAAAACACAAGCTAGGAAACACACAAATCATTATATTCTACCTAACGTTCTCCTTTATTAATCATCTAACAGACATTACAGATGCTGGATGCACCTTCCCAGATTGACAAGATACTAACATTGTCAGCCCAACACCCATAAGTGGTTTGAACTGTTATAATGGTATGGCTGGATCCCCGTCTCCATCCAGGGCGATCAGACAACTTTTCCTATTCCCTCAAATCCCCCCTTTTTACCTTTTGAGATAGTTTCTCCCATACAGGATCTGCTGCAGCAAGGTGACCACGGCAAAGGCGCAGATGAAGATGAAGAACAAAGTTCTGTTTCCCAGCAGATCCCTGCTTGACGAAGGGTCAGTGTATCCCATCCTTAAAAGCCACTGAAGCTCCGCTGGGTAAAATTCAGTTCGCTGCCGCCTTCATGCCCTCTTTGCCGGGAAGCGGAGGGGAACGCTTGCTGGTTTGTCTCTGAGCAATCCAAGGACAAGGTATCCCATTGTTTGGCCCCTTCCTTGCCCCTTTTGGATGTCAGCTCCGGGATTGTGCGCAATGGCTCGCTTCCACGGTAAAGTTTCCAGGAGATTCAGACGTGGGTAACATCTAAAATCATCTCTGGGAGCTCTTTGGGCACCGGCAGCCTGTGCTGTGCGAGAGGCATTCTGTTCCCTCTCAGCCTCTCTCGAAAACCCGCTGCTAGCAATTATCTACTTCAATCCCATTTTCATATTCCAGATGGGGGAAGCTGCAAATAAACCAGGGAACCGCAGCCAATGGCAAACACAGGGCTCGGGCAACCGGCGTTGGAAACACATAGTCGTCAGCTCCTCTTTGCTTCTGCTCAGTGGTTCCAGCGAAACGTGCTTGCGAGGAGACGTGACCGGGGTGTGCTATTACGGAGCGAGCGCGTAATAACCATCATGAGGATTTTCGCTCGGTCCCCTGCAAAAAAAAAAAAAAAAAAAAAAAAAGGAAAAGAGAGAGAAAAAATATTTCCTGATGAAAAAAAAAAAAAAAAAAAAAAAGGAGAAACAGCCACCCAGCAGGAAGGGGAAAGCTGCGTTTTGTGCGGCAGCGCGTCGCCCGCACCCTGCCTCCGGCGCGGCAGAATTCACAGGCAGAAGGCAGTGCCTCTTAATCAGGCTCTGCTCCCTGTTCGGGCTCCTGTATTTCCCCCTCCACACACCCCCCTCCCCGGGTTATTCCTCCAGAGTGAGCGTTAAGCAAGGTCACGGCGCATCCCTTCAAGGACAGAGCTCTCGGTTCCCGCATGCTGATTTATCCCGGTAGCCTCACAGCCGCAGAGGGGGGGACTGCATCCCCGTGCAGGCTCTAAGAGCCATTCATTTAAAGGGACAAATATTCCAATTGTTTCCCCCTCCTCCCCCCTCCC